CATGGCTAGAGTATGGAGTGGCGATTTCAGCGCCATCTATGGGTCTGCACTTCCACTCCCCGGTATTGGGTGCTACGCAGACAACGCCATCTGTTGGTGGTGGCGTGGTATCTGTGAAAGGCGCCGGTTTCCTGCCTCAGTTTGAAGAAGAGGTCGATGATGATGACCTCTGGTGGGTGTCGTATTGTGAACAACGCTATCTAGGTTGTGGCTACAATTTACAATGTCAATGTGCACAGCGCTATAAGGATGAGCGAGCAAGCAAGCACGCGTCCAGGCAAGGAGACGGCCAAGCTGACAAATGTACAGGAGCTTCGACGCTCGAAGCAAGTAGCCGAAGGCTTGGGTGATGGTCGCAGGGCAGCAAGGTCGTGCGATACCTTCTGTGGCGATACATTTTGACCTTTGGTGACCCCCCAGTCACCAGAGGATTGTTTGTGGGGGTTGTGGGTCTCCTGCCATTGGCTATATTAGGTCTGGTGACCTGTAATGCCTCTTCGACTGTGTGACTCTTAAGGCTCTATCGGGCCATCAACTTGTTTGATCAGAATAATACATTAATATACAAAATACAACCCGGGTCTCAGACTAGTTGGTCAGATTTATTAATTTGAACGTAGCATAGTCTTGTAGCTCTTGAAGCTGGTTATAGGTGTGACTCTTAATTTGTCCTCTCTCTCTCTCTCTCTCTCTCTCTCTCTCTCTCTCTCTCTCTCTCTCTCTCTCTCTCTCTCTCTCTCTCTCTCTCTCTCTCTCTCTCTCTCTCTCTCTCACCCCCTCACAACCTCTTCTCTCTCACCCCCCTCACAACCTTCCCTCTCACCCCTCACTGTTCCATTAGCATCTGAAGGGAAATTAGAGATAAGGGAAGGAAATATGAGGAGGGGCGTGGTCGCTGGAACAGGTGGGCTCAGGGAGGCCTTAACTACCTAATTGCCATTACGCTTCTCGTTACGGTCGTCCGGCTGATTACTCGACTATTGTTAGACTTGGAGGAGGGGGGGGGGTAGCCCCGGGGGGGGGAGGGTTATTTGGGTCAAGTGTCTGTGTTTTGTTAGTTGTGGGTAGTTGGCGTCGCCATGGTTGTTAGTTGATGTGTTGTAGCTACTGTTAGTGGGCGTGGGTATTGTTGCTACTGTTAGGTTAGGTTAGGGTTCCATTTTTTAAACTAATTGATGTAAAGAGAGCGGCACTTGGAGATGGGTGCCAGCGCCTATGGTGCCGTCTTGAAATCATTATAGGCACACATCACACCATATGTCTGAGAGAAGTGTTGTTCTGTGATTAACTGTGCGGTGTAACACACACACATACACACACACACACACACACACACACACACACACACACACACACACACACACACACACACACACACACACACACACCACACACACACTCTCTCGCCCTCCCTCTCACATGCGTGAGGGAGAGAGGAGCAACACGTGCCCTCCCTCCCTTCCCCTCACCTTCCCCTCATCTCCCCTCACTTCCCCTTCCTCACAGGATGTCTAGTTACCTCACACCTCCCTCCGCTGAGAGGGAAGCCTCCGCCCTCACAGCCTGGCTAACATTATCTTGAATCAATCACCTTTTCCAGGGCTTCAGCACTCAATACTGCCTCCCTTGCCATTCCAGCGCCATCCCTCCCCTTCCATTGCTTTTCCTTTGGCTTGACAATTATCAGTCATTTAAATGGCCCCCCCTTCCCCCTCCCCCCCCCCTCTCCCTGTTACATTCTTTCCTACAGCACTTCAGTTTTAACTGTTCCTTTCTTGCTCTGTTTCGCCCGTTCCATTTGTAAACACTTTCCAGTTCTTCTTTCCAGCTCCTCAGACGAATTGTGCCCCCTAACTACTTACCTACACCACATGCAAAACTACCTACCAGACATACACAATTACTACCTACCCAACATACACAACTACCTAACTATTCAACATAATTAGGTTGTTACCTATACTCACCATAGACAGTTTCCGACTTGGCTACACACACTCACATTCACAAACACACACACACACACACACACACACAGATGTCAGTCCTCATCACATGCCAATTAATCGTGTTTACCCGTGTTTAATAGTCAACAAGTGTGTTTAGACGGGCAGGTAATTAATCCCACGGTGATCACCTTGCCGTCCATTAATCAACCAGGGATATGGCGCAATGTGCTATACTTACACCTTCCTACACATCTGAAACATTTATATATAATATATATATAAATAATATATTATATATAAATATATATATATATATATATATATATATATATATATATATATATATATATATATATATATATATATATATATTCTTTCCAGCGCCTCAGTGTGGCGATACAGAGGGGAAATGCGCACTGCATCCAGGGTTCCTGCCCGCCATCTGAGGAGCTGGAGGAACTCGACAACCTATGACAACCATCTTTGTAACCCATATGTAACTCCTTTTTTGTAACAAAGTTCAAATAAAGTAAATATATATGTGTGCATACAAAAGAATGGGGGTGGTAGGAGAAGATAATATTAGTGTTCAGTGAGAAACCACAAGGTCTCCTCTGAATACTTTTTATTTTCTTCTCCGAGGCTAGGGGTCCCCACATTGGCACCAGAGGTGGTACCCTCACAAACTTTTATATATATATATATATATACATATATATATATATATATATATATATATATATATATATATATATGACAATGTCAGACCACGGAGGAAAAATGAAACAGGAAATTTCCTTAAGTACTTTCGTATATTAAATACATCTTCAGAAGGTCATTTACAGATCGAGTGATGGGTATATTTTATACCCATCACTCGATCTGTAAAATGACCTTCTGAAGATGTATTTATATACGAAAGTACTTAAGGAAATTTCCTGTTTCATTTTTCCTCCGTGGTCTGACATTGTCACATTCTTAATCACGTGTTTATTTCGTGATATACACACACAACTATAATATATATATATATCTATAATATTATTATATATATATATATATATATATATATATATATATATATATATATATATATATATAATTTTTTTTTTTTTTTTTTTTTTTTTTTTTGAGGGTACCACCTCTGATGCAAGTGTATGTATCCAGAGCCTCGGAGAAGAAAATAAAAAATATTCAGAGAAGACCTTGTGGATTCTTACTGAACACTTTAATATTATCTTCTCCTACCTCCCCTATTCTTTTGTATATACACATATATATTTGTTTTATTTAAACTTTGTTACAAAAAAGAAGTTGCTTATGGGGTACAAAGATGGTTATCATAATTTGTAGAGTTCCTCCAGCTCCTCAGATGGCGGGCAGGAACCCTGAATGCAGTGTGCATTTCCCCCTCTGTATCGCCACGCTGAGGCGCTGGAAAAGGAACCTGGTAGCTCTAGAGGTCTCTTGTTGTTTCAATTAGCCTAGAACCCAGTTCCTTCAAAAAACTGGTGGCACCCTTACCCCCAGGCGCCGAGTGTCTCAGAAGCAATGGGGGACAAAATTGTAGTGGTAATCCAGTTCTCTGTACTTACGGGATTTGGCGGATTCCCTGTGAGTGGCAGCGCCACCTGGTTGTGCATCCCTGAGGTCAATGTAGGTATTAGCCAGGAGTTGATACGCACGTGTAGTCCCACACCAACTGCTTGCCATTATCCCAAAAGGTTTACTGTGATTCCATCTCCTCCTGCTGCTGCTGTGTAAACCACCTCTCACTCCCCTCTCTACAGATGCCTTCGAAAGCGGAAGTTTACTTCGGCGAGGACGGCACGCACTTCCACGAGAAGCCACTGAGGTCCACCTCCAACTGGCCGGGGTCGTTGACCTCCGGCAGCCACAATGTGACCCTGGACTTGCGTCACCGCACCGGACGAGTCCTCAACGTCCTCCTCGACTTCCCCGGGCCGTGGCTGGCCCTCAGCGAGGTCTACTTCGACAGCCGTGAGTGTCTCTTCTCTGTCTGTACAGGGCGGGAAAAGGGAAGGGGACAGGCCAACGTAAATAAGAAAGAGTAGTAGTAGGGGTAGATATAGTAGTATTAGCAGTAGACGTAGATATAGTAGTATTAGCAGTAGACGTAGATATAGTAGTATTAGCAGTAGAGGTAGATATAGTAGTAATAGCAGTAGAGGTAGATATAGTAGTATTGGAGGTAGATATTGTAGTATTTGCAGTAGAGTTAGATATAGTAGTATTTGCAGTAGAGTTAGATATAGTAGTATTAAAGTAGATCGAAAAGGTAGTGGGTCCTGGCCCAGCCTTCCCTGAAATATCGACTTGTTGTTAGGTTATAAACGTAAATACTAAATAGTATATAGGTCCTAGCACCGAGCCCTCAGGGACTCTGTTACTGTACGCCAGTCCGACTTCTCACCCTTCACTATGACTCTCTGACTCACGCCTCTTAGGTACCCTCACCAATTTCAGTGTTCTTATATTTTATATTCACTCTAAAGTGAGTTTGTTGGGTGTCTGATGACAACACATTCTCTTAAGTGTGTTTACGACGTTCAGGTGATCGAGACCTCCTGATACCCGGTTACAGTATATCAGTAAGGTCGTCAAGCCCATCATTCCTTGCAACGTTTTGCCATCCCCTGCTATCCCTTGCTATTCCCTGCCACCCAACGCCATCCACTGCCACCGGCTGCCATCCCTTGCCATTCCCTGCCACCCAACGCCATCCACTGCCACCGGCTGCCATCCCTTGCCATTCCCTGCCACCCAACGCCATCCACTGCCACCGGCTGCCATCCCTTGCCATTCCCTGCCACCCAACGCCATCCACTGCCACCGGCTGCCATCCAGCACCGAGCGCATGCGAGCGTGTATAGACGTGAAAGCAGATGTAAGCAAGAGTTCCAGTCCAGAGATATTACCTGGCATGTTTATAGCGCCCACAGGGACAGTCTTCCTCCGTCGCTGGAACTTTTATCTCTCCGACAAGTGTTTATACGAAAGTATTCACAGTTCTCCTCTCTGGTACTGGCTTATCGCGGCCGTATAGGACACATTTACCAGTATTCACAAGGTGGAAAGGTTATTGTTATTATTACTGTTGTTATCATTAGTAGTAGTATTAATTCATTACTATCACTACTACTTTTTTAGAAAATCAGTAGGATCCATTGAGCAGGATTCGAACCTGCTCACTTAGTATTCCTAAGCTTGCGCGCCAGACCACCAAGCCACGACACGGTGGCGCTAGCTTGGGAGTATATACCCAGTGAGCAGGTTCGAATACCATCCCCTCCCTCCCCGTGGCTCCTATACTGATTTTCTCATTACTAGTATTCCGATACTATTGTGATATGCAATTAAAGAGCAAGGCTGCATTAATATTTCTATAAAAGTCGATTGTGTGAGCATTCCTTAAAATCAAACCTAAAGTCTATCTGGATAAAGTCTATCTCTGATTTATTTTTAAGTCATGAAAGAGTTTAAATCCTCTGTTAAATCCTACGACAATGTAGAGACATTGTGTTGTGCTCAACAACACAATATCAACATCAACAACATTAGAGACATTGTGTTGTCATCAGACACCCCACATACTCACTTTAGAGTGAATTTTAAAATATAAGAACACTCAGCCTGGTGGATAGCGCACAGGACTCGTAATTCTGTGGCGCGGGTTCGATTCCCGCACGAGGCAGAAACAAATGGGCAAAGTTTCTTTCACCCTGAATGCCCCTGTTACCTAGCAGTAAATAGGTACCTGGGAGTTAGTCAGCTGTCACGAGCTGCTTCCTGGGGGTGGAGGCCTGGTTGAGGACCGGGCCGCGGGGACACTAAAAAGCCACGAAATCATCTCAAGATAATCTCAAGATAATCAGTACACGGGTATTGATCCGTGATGCTTGCAGGTTGCTTTCAGAAGGTGCTTGTTAGTGAGGCTGGGATGTAGTTCTCTTGTTCCGCCTCTGTTTTTGTGTAATGATAACACTGAATGTTTTTGCTTAAATCTCTGGTAGTTCTCCCTCTTTCTGGTGGGAGGGTTTACAGTTATGGGAAGGGATCTTGGTGTCGTCGTCTGTGTGGGATTAGTGCCTTCATAAAACAAATATTGAATTCCTGTAGGCCAAATTGTTACTGTAATGTATTTGTTTTCTTTCCCCTCACTCTTGTGTTTGGTGTGGTTTTTCTTCGGTTCTGTGCTCCCTGTATTCTGTGCTCCCTGTATTATGTACTCCCTGTATTCTGTGCTCCCTGTATTCTGTGCTCCCTGTATTCTTTGCTCCCTGTATTATGTACTCCCTGTATTCTGTGCTCCCTGTATTCTGTGCTCCCTGTATTCTGTGCTCCCTGTATTATGTACTTCCTGTATTCTGTGCTCCCTGTATTCTGTGCTCCCTGTATTCTGTGCTCCCTGTATTATGTACTCCCTGTATTCTGTGCTCCCTGTATTCTGTGCTCCCTGTATTCTGTGCTCCCTGTATTATGTACTCCCTGTATTCTGTGCTCCCTGTATTCTGTGCTCCCTGTATTCTGTACTCCCTGTATTATGTACTCCCTGTATTCTGTGCTCCCTGTATTATGTACTCCCTGTATTATGTGCTCCCTGTATTCTGTGCTCCCTGTATTCTGTGCTCCCTGTATTCTGTACTCCCTGTATTCTGTACTCCCTGTATTCTGTACTCCCTGTATTATGTACTCCCTGTATTATGTACTCCCTGTATTCTGTGCTCCCTGTATTATGTACTCCCTGTATTCTGTGCTCCCTGTATTCTGTGCTCCCTGTATTCTGTGCTCCCTGTATTATGTACTCCCTGTATTCTGTGCTCCCTGTATTCTGTGCTCCCTGTATTCTGTACTCCCTGTATTCCTTACATGTTCTTCAATTATTTTCCGTGTAAGCGGTGATGTGTGCCGCTGATGTGTTTATGTTTATGTGTGTCCTGCACAGAGCCGTGCACGTGCAACCTGACGGACTGGGCCGACGGGGAGGCGTCCACGCCGGCCGAGCACACCGCGGTCCGACGCGACGACTCGCGCGACGTGTCTGCCGTGTCGGCCGTGCACGCCCACACCCGCGCCTACATGGGCGTGGTAATCGGGTTCGTGGTGGGCGTGTTCCTGCTGGTGGCGGCCGGCTTGCTGATCTACGTCAGGCGGCTCAGGAAGAAGAAGTCGTCGCCGCACGTGCTCAAGAGTCCACTGTCGGACACGGCCAGCGTGGCCCTGGATATGAAGTCGCTGCGGATGGTGTCCAGTTACTCGGGCGCCGGGGCGGCCATGTACGGCCCCGTGGCCGTGCCGGACGAGGAAGGCTCGCTGTATCACGAGCCGTACAAGACTCCGCTGTTCAGCGCCTCGGAATACAGCGTGGCCACCATTGGGCGTCACCTGAGCGACTACAGCAAGGGCGGCGGCGGCGCCGCTACTCCCGCCCATCAGAGCGCCAGCAGCGGTGTGGTGGGCGGGGAGTACGCCGTGCCCATCCTCTCCACGCCTCCTCCGCCCTTCAACACCAATGCTTCCACGCCCTTCACCACCACGCCCATCAGCGCACCGCCCACGCCCTTCTCCCACGCCACCACGCCACACTCCTCCACCTCCACACCCTTCAGGTCAGCCACGTACACTGGAGAAGTGTAGTGTACACATGTACGTGACTATGCCATACACAGCACGTGCACACACGTACATTATAATGATTGACGTCAAGGTAGTCATAGTTTGATGAAACAGTTGAGAATGGAGATTTTTTATTATTTTTTTATTTGTTATTATCAAATAACAAATAAAAAAAAAAAAAAAAAAAAAATATATATATATATATATATATATATATATATATATATATATATATGTAATTTTGTTATAGTTTTCATTCATTTATTGATAAATTTATTCAATCTTTTTTTCCATTCACTTCCTGTTTCGTTATTCATTTATTTTTTTCTTGTCACACGAGGATTTTATGTATATTTACACTTGGATTTATTTTTGGATTTATAAATGGATTTACATAGTAAATTACACATACTTTTACAGCTGAATTACCACTTAGAATTTGCTCATTCATTAAAAAGAGTAAAACATTTATATGTAAAACATTTACACATTAATGTAAATAATCTACACATTAATTTACACACGCATTGACGCATTAATAAGTATACCCATTTACACATTCATTTGAACCTGAATGTACACAGCCACTAACATGTTTATTTACATTTGACTTATTTACATCTGTTTACACTTGTTTACACACATGTTTGCTTCAAGTTTATAACTGAATTGTACTCTCTCTCTCCCCGCCCACCCACCCACAGCAGCTCAGCGCCCGCCCCGCCCACCACCCTGCCGCCCAACACCTTCCCTTCCATCATGCGCCTGTGTCCAGCACCGCCCCCGCCGCCCGTGCCGCCCCCGCCCGACAAGTACCTCACGCCGCCCGTCGTCTGCAAGGTACGCCCACACGCCCACCAGGGTACGCCCACACACCCACCAGCCTCTGTGCTGCCTATCTAGTGCGTGAGGGCGGGTGGGGGGGGGGGGATCTGTCTCTATGTTAGTGTGGCTGGCTATAGTGTGGTTGGCTATAGTGTGGTTGGCTATAGTGTGACTGGCTATAGTGTGGCTGGCTATAGTATGGGCTGTCTATAGTGTGGCTGGCTATAGTGTGGCTGTCTATAGTGTGGCTGTCTATAGTGTGGTTGGCTATAGTGTGGCTGTCTATAGTGTGGCTGTCTATAGTGTGGCTGGCTATAGTGTGGCTGGCTATAGTGTGGCTGGCTATAGTGTGGCTGGCTATAGTGTGGCTGGCTATAGTGTGGCTGTCTATAGTGTGGTTGGCTATAGTGTGACTGGCTATAGTGTGGCTGGCTACAGTATGGGCTGTCTATAGTGTGGCTGGCTATAGTGTGGCTGGCTATAGTGTGGCTGGCTATAGTGTGGCTGTCTATAGTGTGGTTGGCTATAGTGTGACTGGCTATAGTGTGGCTGGCTATAGTATGGGCTGTCTATAGTGTGGTTGGCTATAGTGTGACTGGCTATAGTGTGGCTGGCTATAGTATGGGCTGTCTATAGTGTGGCTGGCTATAGTATGGGCTGTCTATAGTGTGGCTGGCTATAGTGTGGCTGGCTATAGTGTGGCTGGCTATAGTGTGGCTGGCTATAGTGTGGCTGTCTATAGTGTGGCTGGCTATAGTGTGGTTGGCTATAGTATGGGCTGTCTATAGTGTGGTTGGCTATAGTGTGGCTGGCTATAGTATGGGCGGTCTATAGTGTGGCTGGCTATAGTGTGGCTGGCTATAGTGTGGTTGGCTATAGTGTGGCTGGCTATAGTATGGGCTGTCTATAGTGTGGTTGGCTATAGTGTGGCTGGCTATAGTATGGGCTGTCTATAGTGTGGTTGGCTATAGTGTGGCTGGCTATAGTATGGGCTGTCTATAGTGTGGTTGGCTATAGTGTGGCTGGCTATAGTATGGGCTGTCTATAGTGTGGTTGGCTATAGTGTGGCTGGCTATAGTGTGGCTGGCTATAGTGTGGTTGGCTATAGTGTGGCTGGCTATAGTATGGGCTGTCTATAGTGTGGTTGGCTATAGTGTGGCTGGCTATAGTATGGGCTGTCTATAGTGTGGTTGGCTATAGTGTGGCTGGCTATAGTGTGGCTGGCTATAGTATGGCTGGCTATAGTGTGGCTGGCTATAGTGTGGCTGGCTATAGTATGGGCTGTCTATAGTGTGGTTGGCTATAGTGTGGCTGGCTATAGTATGGGCTGTCTATAGTGTGGTTGGCTATAGTGTGGCTGGCTATAGTGTGGCTGGCTATAGTATGGGCTGTCTATAGTGTGGTTGGCTATAGTATGGGCTGTCTATAGTGTGGTTGGCTATAGTGTGGCTGGCTATAGTATGGGCTGTCTATAGTGTGGTTGGCTATAGTGTGGCTGGCTATAGTATGGGCTGTCTATAGTGTGGTTGGCTATAGTGTGGCTGGCTATAGTATGGGCTGTCTATAGTGTGGTTGGCTATAGTGTGGCTGGCTATAGTATGGCTGGCTATAGTGTGGCTGGCTATAGTGTGGCTGGCTATAGTATGGGCTGTCTATAGTGTGGTTGGCTATAGTGTGGCTGGCTATAGTATGGGCTGTCTATAGTGTGGTTGGCTATAGTGTGGCTGGCTATAGTATGGCTGGCTATAGTGTGGTTGGCTATAGTGTGACTGTGTCTATAGTACGGCTGTCTATAGTGTGGCTATCTTGACGCTTCATTGACTGTCTACTCATGAGTGTCTGTGTCTGTGTGTGTGTGTGTGTACAGTGACTATTGTCCTTTAAATACGAGGGGCTTCTGTCTGTACACATGTACAGACGGAAAGAAGTACACAAACTGTCTGTCTGTCTACTTGGAATGGCAACTCTTTTTTTTTTTCTTTCGTCAATCTTCTATCAACATCTTAAGGAATCAGGCACTTCAGAACTGTCTTGGGAGATCCCACATTCCGGCCATTTGCCAAATGTGTCGCCACTTTGGGGAGGAGTTCAGAGTTTCAAGGAAGAAAAAGTAGAGGATGACACGTCTCTTCAGAAAGATCTAAGACTTTAAGACTAAGACTTTCAGATGTAATAATGTCAGCATTGTGGGCTGACTTGAATTTTTTTATATAATACACTGGACGGGTAAGGTAATTAGGAAGTGTGTTAAGTGTTATACCTTCTAAGTGTTGAGCCACTTAGAAGGTATCGGTGGAGGAACTGGAATATGAGGTCAAGGAACTGCAGTATGAGGTCAAGGAGCTGGGATATGAGGACAAGGATCTGGGGTATGTGGACAAGGAGCTGGGATATGAGGACAAGGATCTGGGGTATGTGGACAAGGAGCTGGGATATGAGGACAAGGAG